GGAAAGAGTAAGAAGGGTTCGCATTTCAAATAGACTCGCCCGAATCTTGTGAGGGTTTCGGTGATTGGTCAACAACAACACTCTTATCTACAATGTGTATATGTGCAAAAAAAGGGAGTAGCTTCAGAAAATTCGCCCCACGTAAGCATCTTTCTTGTAGATTCTTTATCAAAATTTTGTGTTGTCCAGGTGAATATAGGAGCATCCGCCATTGATTCTTTTGCTTGATCTCCATTGGAGCTTCATAAATTACTCTCCTTGTCGTAAAGTCGAAAACTTTCGCCCTGTAATATTCGCCGAAATCACTATGATGGTACAATATTTGAAACAGATATGTATATGTTGGTCCAATGTTGTCGTCTTGGTAGTTTGTGAGGTTATTGGGCCTAAATGGGCCATCGAAAGCGTATCATTTGGGCTCAACCGGCTGGAGTAGCAAAACGACACCGTTTTCAGCGGACCTCACAATTGGTACTCGTGCGACATCGTCTCGATCCCCTGAGTATGCCCTCGGTGCGAGCATCCAGGCTTTCCACGTGTCGTCACATGAAAATATCCGGACCAATGTAATGGGAGCACCAGCTTCATTGTACACGTGGTAAACGGAAACCACGATGAGAATGACGCAGGAACAATAAACCATGAGCAAAATGCAAACGGGAATGAAGAGAATGATCCTTCCAGACCAGAGCCAGTGGGGAAAGACAAAGCAACAGAAGCTGAAGTGACAGAATCATGCTATTGTTAGTGCCCGAAATGTAAACTTGTTTACTTCCACTGAACATAATTAAAATATTTTAGTATATAATCTCTTTTGTAATCTTAGATTCAGATACGTATGGTAGGAGATGACTGATACAGTTTCTTTTCTGTTGATCATTAGTTTATAAACTTTGCATCCGCATTTTGATATTCAAATAAATGTTGAAATTTGTTTTGCTAATATCCAAATAATTGCTGAATTTGATTTTCGATTTCCAATGTAATATTGAATTTGATTTCGGTATACAATTAAGACATCATTGATACTGAAATCTAAGTGTTTAAAAATAATTAGATACCAAAATAAAATGTGTTTAAACATAATTAGAAAATAAAATTTTCATTTAATTGGATACCAGAAAACAAATTTAGTATTTTGTTTAACCACTTAAAATAATTTAATATTTATTTGGATACTCAAATATAAAATTAATATTTGTCTTTTGGTATTCATACTTTTCAGAATAATATCTAAGAATTTGTGGACAGGACAGAACTCATCTCCGGTTCCTTTGGGGTACCATAAGCTTTGGTTGAAAGTCAACGCGAGAGACCTGAAAAGGTCAAAGCCATAAATCAAAACTTAGCAACTAAAGTCTGTTCCAAACGACTTGGAAGTAGTTCACATTTGGCTTAGCCAATCTCCTTATATTTAAAGCTTACGTTGAATTTTATTACAACTAGATACATTTATTTCTATTTGACATATATACCTTCAATTTGAATACCCCAATTGTATATATTTTATAAAAATGATTTCACTCAAATCAAAATAATTTATAAGATATAAGATTTTATGTCTACTATAGTTCGGACATATATCAGAATTTTTTTTTTTAATATAGAACCATATCAACTACCCTTCGAATATGTACGGGGTAAACCATGCTCTCGAATAATAGATTACAAGCCACACGAAAGATGTAAACCACCTTAAATTGTCCATTACTGACGGGATTAAGGGGTTTATTATTCAACCAACTTATTTTGAGGTTTTTTTTCACATATATCAGAATTTTATTATAAAATGAAAGGCTAATCCAAATTTCGGAAATCTGGTTTTCGATATTCGACCAACACTTACGTATCACAATCATATATTTTCGTAAGTTGTCCAAGGCCGGACGATTATTGAATTCATGGGTTGAAAATTTCTAAGTTGTGTAGACTTAATAGACACACAGATGATGCATACACACGACGACCGCCACCTTCTAACCACACTTATTCACCAATCCTTTTTTTCATTTCTATAAATACGACCCAAATATCATCAAACGATTAATTCATCACAACAACAAAAATATAAGAATAGAAAAAGAAAAACAATAATGGAGAAGTTGAGGAATGGAGTATTATTGATGACAGTGTTTGTAGCGGCAGCCGTGGTCGTGGAGGTCGCTGCGGCACAGACGGTTCATGTGGTCGGAGAAAACATGGGATGGACCGTTCCTAGGACCGGTGGTTCCACTGCCTACACCGCTTGGGCCTCTTCCAAGAGGTTCATGGTCGGTGATATCTTGAGTATGTCTTCTTTTCTCTTTTCTTGTCTTTTCTTTTTTTATAATATTTATTTTTTTAAACACATATAAATACATAAACTTTAAATTTGATATAATCGATACACAAATATTAAAATGTTTTAAATTTATACTCTAAATATTAAAATATTTGCTGAATACACATCGTCGTTACTAATAAAAAGAACTTGTCACAATCGTGCTTAGCTAGCAACTAACAAAATCTAGATTGTCTCATTTCAGTAAATGACCATATATTATATACATTTTAATTCGTTATATCATAATTAAAATAAGGGATAATTCCATTTAAAACCCTGTATTTTTCTCTCGTCTCAATTTAAACCCTATACTTTTTTTTGATCCAAAAAAACATTGTACTTTTAAAAATTGGCAATTAAAACTCTATACTTTTAAAAATTGGCAAATAAAACCCTGAACGAAAAACAATATTATTTAATACTGACATGACATCCTAGTCATCTGCCACATCATCAATCCCTAATATTTAATAATATTAATTAATATAAAATAAAAATAAAAATTTAAAAATTATATATATTCATAAAATTATACACATATATAAACATGTTTATAAAAATTTTAAAATTATATACATATATAAATATATTTATATATACATATATACATATATATACATATGATACATATATATCTATATATGTGTATAATTATTATATGTTTTATATGTATGTGTTATATATGTATTTTTCCCTAAAAAACATTATATATATATGTATGATTTTTAGGAAAAAAAATCATATATCACACATACATAAAACATATTTATATATATATCTATATAATACATACATATATATATGTATATATAAATATGTTTTATATGTATGTGTGATATATACATGCTTTTCTAAAAATCATATATATATGTGATATATGCATGATTTTTAGAAAAAAAATACATATACCATATATGCATATAAAACATATATATATATATGTATTATATATATGTGTGTATATATATAAATATGTTTATATATGTGTATATATGTATATCATTTCATTATATATGTATGTGTATAATTTTTAAAATTTTATTTTTATTTTTATTATTTTATTTTTATTTTATATTAATTAATATTATTAAATATTAGGGATTGATGATGTGGCGGATGACTAGGATGCCATGTCAGCATTAAATAATATATTTTTTCGTTCAAGGTTTTATTTGCCAATTTTTAAAAGTATAGAGTTTTAATTGCCAATTTTTAAAAGTACAATGTTTTTTTGGATAAAAAAAAAGTATAGAATTTAAATTGCGACGAGAGAAAAGTACAAGGTTTTAAATGGAATTATCCCTTAAAACAATTCAGCATTCAATTTCCCGACGGACATACACGACGTACTAAGAGTGACAAAGGAATCATATGATGAATGCACTTCGACGAATCCCATCGGAGATCTCATCGTTAACGGTCCCGCCAACGTCACCCTCTCCTCCTCCGGTGACCATTTCTTCATCTGCACCATCGGTCGCCACTGTCTCTCAGGCCAAAAACTCTCCATCTCCGTCACCGGCAGCGGCGGTGGCATATTGGAAAAACTACAGTGTCCACCGCCGGAGGATGGATCCTCCGGAGGACCGATGACTGGTCCTCCGTCGCCGTCTTCCTCCTCCGTCTTGGCTAGTTCGTTCTTCATGTCTGTCGTTTTTGTTGCTGTGAGTATGGTTGTTTAAGGTTTTTTTATTTTTATTTTGTGGAGATTATTGTTGTTATGGGGTGGTGAGATCTTGGTGTTTTATTTATTGGCTTTTCTGATATTGTTATTATTATTATTATTATTATCATTTACATTTTTATATTTAGCAGTGTTGTTGTTGTTATATTTTGAGGGAATAAAAGTTTTGTATTGGTTATGATAATGGTTTTGGTTTATGATATTTCTTTGATATAAACACACTTCAATTTTTTTTTAACTAGCATTCAACTCTTATATTTCACTCTTCTAAGTAAAAATTTTGTAGGACAAGAAATTTTGTGAGTGAATACATTATGTGTGCCATGTACATCCCGTATAATTCTAAATATTTTTTTTTTGTAAGAATGTGAATCTATTTACTCAAAAAAGAATATCGGTTTTGATTACATTCCGGTTTTTAAACCGTAGATTAAAAGCATTGGAACTTCATAGCAGGTGAAAAAATAAAAAAGATCTTTTTGCATGGCTTGTTGTAATAGGAGCTTTCAAGGAGGCCTTGTAGCGTGGTACCAATCTTGTAGGAGCAGGTTTTCGGATATTGGCTTCCCCTTGTGAGAGGATAGAATGATGTTTCGGATTAGGTTGTCAATTTTCCTCCTTCCTCCCTCGATCGTGGTTGATCGAGATTGGAAGATACGGTGGTTCCTCTCCCGCCATAAGGAATAGATCGTTGCTTGCAGAAGAATCTTCGTTAGAATCCTCTGGTTTCGTACTTTGTCTTGAGTTCTTCCTTCCAGCCAAGTGATGGCTTGTTGGAGTGTGTTCGGTAGTTCTATCGCGATTCTGCGTGCGTAGTAGAGATTGTTGGTTTAGTGCTCTATGATGTACTGTTTATGAGCTTTATTTAGATACATTTGATGTATTGATACTTTCTATGGTTTATGAGAGTATTTGATTCATTACATGTTCTTGCATACTAGATGTGTTATGAAATCCATGTATCATTATGGATGATACTTAACTCCCTAGTCTTGTGTCATTATGGGAATGATGACATAATAAGACTAGTATGATGTGTGATTGATGATCATATAGATGATCATAAGTATTTGGATACGATCGCAGTCATAGGTATTCGTTGGAGAACGGAATACCGGATTGACCCGCATGAGATTGTCACATGGACTAGCGTCATGACTGGAATCTCAAAATGGCGGTTCCATGATTAGATCCTAAGACCTGAGATATCTACGGAATCCAACATGAGGAGTTGCGTGCTTTGATCACGTCAAACGTCCTGCGTAACAGGAGGACTATAAAGGCGTGTATCAGGTACGAAACGAATCATGTGCTGGATTGTAGATAGTCAAGACGGGATTTGTACCTCTCGTAAAAGAGAGAGATATCGCTGGAAACGTCCTGCGTAACAGGAGGACTATAAAGGCGTGTATCAGGTACGAAACGAATCATGTGCTGGATTGTAGATAGCAAGACGGGATTTGTACCTCTCATAAAAGAGAGAGATATCGCTGGGCCCCTCGAGTGAGCGAGACTGTAGAAATTTGTGGCCGCACTATATACGAACGTCGTCTTTTTTAGACAGTCGAACTCTGTGAACGAGAAAGCAGTTGAATCAGATAAGGTGGCTTGTCCATGCCTTATATTCGACATATGATATCGTGATACAAAAGGATCATCAACCGGAATCATCACTGGCGTTCGTAAGATCACGAACAAACTCTATTCGAGATAGGTAGTCATAGTGTTTTGCTAGAGACCGCCTATGATTTGTATATCCGGAATAGAGATTTCGGGTTATACTGCTATATCGAGTGAGCTTACAGGGTCACACACGCAGGGAAGGACAAATGCACGAGAAAACGTCGAGAAATCTGGACAAGAGGTCCGGACCGTCCGGTCTAGGAGTAGACCGAACGGACCAGACCATCTAGTCCGAACAGACCAAATTGTTGGACCGAACGGACTAGAGAGTTCAGTCCGAACGGACCAAGTGTTGGACCAAACGGACTGACCCGTCAGTTCGAACAGACCCAGTTATGAAACTGGTCCGAACGGACCAAGTGTCCAGACCGAATGGACTACTAAGCAGTCCGTTTGGTCTGGGGTTCAGATTTAATTTTAAAGTCCGGATCTAGGGTTATTGATAAGTGTGTACCGAGTCTAAAATCTATAACCCGATTCACAACTCACCGCAAGGATACGGATCGTCGTAACACGGGGTCGAACACGAGGACCGGTTGCTAAATCCAAATCTAGATCGAAAATAGATCAAAGCAAGTAGAAGTGGAAGTGATGATAAAAATATGTGGAAAGAATGGAGAATAAGGAAATAATGCAATAAAAACGAGTAACCTATCAAACAAGAATGACTACGGGTATCGGGATCGTATTCGCGTGTATGGGTATTTACTAAGCATGCATGAATAACGATTATGACTTGTATTCGGGAATCATCAAGCAACAAAGATGGAGAATTCACCTCTCGGTCTACTAACTCCCTACCTACAGAGTAACTCGTCAATCTCTCGATCTATTCAAGTTAACCCTAGGTGCATAAAGAACGCTATCATCAACCCTAAATCGATTAAACCATATCTCTATGTGAATAATACGATCTATCCTATTGATTTTGATCCGAAACAAACCCATATCTCTATGTGGTTCAGAATCCAAGATAATTGATCAAGGGGTTAGCAAACATCAATCCAATAAAAATGTAAATCAATAGAACCGAATCAAATCAAAACCGAAATCCAAGTTAAGGTTCAAACATACCCAAAATACAAACGAATCCCTAACCCATAGTCATGGATCTACTCAAGGTTCATAGAAAACAATAGAAACCAATAAAAGTGTAAATCAATAGAACCGAATCAAATCAAAACCGAAATCCAAGTTAGGGTTCAAACATACCCAAAACACATACGAATCCCTAACCCATAGTCGTGGATCTACTCACGGTTCATAGAAAACAACAAAAAGCTCATAAAGAAAAAGGTAAAAGAGAGGAAAGAAAGTCTCATGTAGATGTGTAGTCTCCACGATCGAATCTTCCTTCTTCTTCCCGAAATCCCGTGAACTTCTATTCTTCTCTCCCCAAAAGCTCTCCAAAAATCTGTATCTAGGTGTTCTCTCAGGTTCTCCTCTCTACTAGGACGTGGCTAGGGCTTTTTTATAACCCTAGGGCGGCTCCCAAGAGTCCTATTCCCATTCAGATGCTGAAAATCGCGAATTAGGGTTTCTGGTTGGATCCGGACCGATTCCAGGTGGATCCGGACCGGATCCAGATTCCTGGGGTCGAATTCTGCGTCCTTGATCCGGACCGATTCCAGCCGGAATCGGCCCTGCACCGGCAGTTCTCTGGTCTTCACGAATTCGCTCATAACTCTCTGCTCCGGTGTCGGATTTACGCGATTTTGGTGTCTACGCGAAGCTCTTGAAGTGCTCTTTCCAATGGTATAGGTCTCGCACGATTTGGACCTCTGTAGAGAAAGTTATTGATGTCGCAACATGAGTACCTCATCCGGACTTCTCCTTTAACGCTCCAATTAGCTCCTTTTCGAGTCCAATCATCTCCGAAACCTGTAACTCTGCAAAACTAGAGCACAACCGGGTTTTGTATCCTAACACGCCTAGAATGCCTATGAATGCATGTGATTATCCTATAAAACCTAGACAAACTCTCATCAAAATATAGAGAAGAATAGGAGTTATCAGTTATCACTTGAATAAGAGGAGAAATAGAACCCTAACACGAAGTGGCCGACCCAGAGAAATTTTCAGACCTTTTTAGAGAGTCTAGAGGGTTGAAGAAGTGATCTTAATCTCTCTTTCTCAAAGCACATCATCGAATAGAAGATTCGTGTCCTAGCAGACAAGTTCCAAAGGTTGGAATTCATCCCGAGGTGTGGATATGTGTAGAGGGCGAGGTATTCTTCCTGCCTATAGTGATCGGACGAACACATCAATTGAAACAGGCCCCGGATCGATTGAGGTAAGCGTTCTAACGTTTCTACAAGATCATGCATGATAGGTTCTAGGGTTTCATTAAAATTTTTGTCTTACATCCGCTGCGGAAACCCTAGAATCGATCTCTTAGGAATTAGATTCGCTCATGAGATCCCAGGAAAACCCAACAGAAAGTATCCCACAAATTCTCCGTTAACTGATATCGAGAATTTCGTCGTTGTTATGCACTGTCTGATCCATCAGATGAATTTTACCGGTAATCTCATGGCTTGCAAGATGCTGATGATGAAATTCCAGTTTACGGCATCGAACGCCTTCCTGATATCTATCTTTAGCATAGCTTTAGGCGAAGTGGATGAGTGGTTGTAATCCCGGATTAATTCTGAGGCCAAGAGTATGTTCTCAAGCATTAATCTCCCCTGAATAAAAGCTGATTGATTCGGGGAGATAACCTGTTTGAGGATCGGCTTGAGACTCGACAACCTCTAAATATGTCTAGACTTTTTGAACGGTTCATCTGTTATTTGAAGGTTCATATTCAAATACAATCCACTCTCTCTCATGTAACTCTTCCAATGTTTTCCGGTTCTCACCAATTTTACTCTACTTTTTCTTTAGCACAAGACTCGACAACCTCTTATGTTGTATATTGTGATTGTTTCTCTTTATATAGTCTCTTTATATAGTCGAATATATCCCATCTTCCCTTTCCTCCAACTTGTACTTGTGTGATATTCATCTTCCTTATGTTGTGGGATATCTTCATTTATGATTTTGCTTTCCTTATTTAATTGTTCATCTTTTCTTTCCGTCACTTGAACTTCATTCCTTTTGCCTTTCGTAGTTTGAACTTCATTCTTTTTGTTTGATCTTTATAATGACCATATTTATTTTTATCTTTCGAGGTTGTTCCTTCCATTTTTATATTGAGATCTTTTTTTTTTATGTTGAAACAGTCTACATTGTTTATAATGAAAAGAATAAAGTTAACATAAAGCGGAGATGAGAACGGGTTCTAAGTTTTGTATTAACAAATCCAAACGTATGAGTATTATAATTTATTTAGGTTTCCGCTTATTTTACTCCTACACAAAATGCTTTAATTATATATATACTGTAGAAAACATACATTTTTTAGAGTGAAAATATGAGCGCTCAATCACAATTAATCTTATACCGACATCATTATTTTTTAAAATATGTCAAATATCTGAATTTTTAATTTGATATAATTGATATTGCAAATATTAAAATATTTTAAATTGATATCCTAACTTATAAAAAATATGTCAATTCTCAATTTCTAAACAAATTTTTAAATATGGTGTATAGAGTTTTTAAGTCGCTATCATAATAATTACAATAAATTGCTGAAAATTTTTAATAATTTCTTCGATTTTATGATTTGAGGTTCAGAGTTTAATTGATTTTATATGGTTGGGTATCAATTTAAAATATTTTAAATTTTAGATTTTAAACTAAATTAAATTTTTTATTATTTATTTGATATATTTAAAAAAATTGAGGCTGATTTTTTTCTTCTTATTATTATTATTATTATTTGGGATGAGATCTTGATGTTGTTGATATTGACTTTTCTGTTACTAGTAATCTTTTACATATTCAGGAAATATGGCGGAGAATCATTAATTCATTTCTATTTTTTTCCAGTGTGTGGAAATGTGAAATGAAAAAGAAATATGGCGGAGATCATTAATTCATTTCTAATTTTTGTCGGAAATCAGTAATATTTTCAACATCGTAATTCGTAATTGATTCCTATTTTCCGTCGAAAATATTTGTGGCTAAAAGCATACGAGAGATAAGACATAATAATATCTACCGTTTGACAAAAAAAAAATATTTGAAAATTCGTTTTTTGAAATAGGACAATTCCATCACTCTCATCCACAATACCCTCTCTTCTTTGTTTATTTTCCAAATTTCAGAAAATCAAAACAGATTTTGTTAGTGAAAATGATTGTTACGAAGATATCACTAGAAAATAGAAAAAATCACAAAAATTGGTGCTTTGGAACAAATTGATTCAATACAAAACCACTATTTTTAATAGAAAACAACTAATTTTGGTTTAATTCGGAATATACTTTTATATCAAACTAAATTCGAATAAATATGTATATTATTTCATTCTAATTTATGAGATATTAGGAAACTAAACGACAACTCTAAAATGGTGGTCATAATAACACACTAAAGAGGAACTCAACCACTATATATATATATATATATATATATATATGTGTGTGTATCAATGTATACATGCAGACAACCATATAAGATTGTACGAAATCTTTCCATTTTTGTTGTTTTTTTTTCTTCATATTTGGCAAGATCTAAAACTGAGCATGAGATTTGACCGTAAACTCGAACGAAACAGACAGTTCTGTATTAATGGGCATTAATCGTCCGCCACGGGGTGCACCTGTTCCAAATCATCCTCAACTGAATCATCACCGTTGATCTGATCAAGCACGAGAACCAACCCCATCGCAAACGCACCGTCGAAACCGGGTTTCACGGTGAGAGAGAACACGTCGCGTCCGAGAACCACGTTTGTGGACGCGTCCACTTTGCGTTTGATCTCAGCAACTGGACGCTTCTCAGTGTCGTACATAACGCAGTTTCGTTGCGAGAAGTCGCCGTCGATTACGTACTCTTCGCCGGGTCCGTCGTAGATCTCCACAGTCATTGTGCACCGTCCGATTATCGACGATCTTCTGACGCTGAACATCGGCTTCTGACCGTCCGATCTCTCCCCGAGAAATCCTTCCCATCTCTGGTGAAGTGTCGGCCTCTGTTCATAGAAACCAACCCGAGTTTAGTTGAAACGAGTCGAGATAAGAGGACTGACACTGTGGAACAAGAACTCGATCTGAGAACAGAAGACAAGTCGATGATTTACCCTTAAAAGAAAAGACAAGTCGATGATTCACTGAGTTGACTCGTTGACACGGCAAAAACAGACGGATTGCCAGATTTTGCAACTCAAAATGCTAAAACAGTAGTTCAGATCCGTTTCATAGATTGTTATCAGATACCGACAAAACCCTATCGAGAAAATTAAAACTTTCCGAGAGCGGAGGAATGAAAGAAAATTTCCAGAAAGAGTTGGATTCTTTTCCCACGACATCACGACAGGAAACAAAAATCAGACCGATACCCGTCAATCAAAATTAGATTTCAACCAAGCCCTTGTAATCAGATCCAGTCCATCACGAACAAAACTTCAACTTTCTTCTTAATTTCACTACCGAGTCGACTCGTCCCAACTGAACTGAAACAAAAAAATGGAAATACCTTTCTCCTGACGGTGAGGAGACACTTTCCCGTGGCGTCCATGAGGACAATCTCATCCTTCTCTCTGGGTTCGGGTCCGTACGAGTCGACTCGGAAGATGAGTTCGCCGTTGCAGTCGTAGACGGCGAAGCCGTCGCCGGAGAAGAAGAGTGAGGTCTTGCAAACTGTGAGATGCTTCTCTTCTTCGTAGAGATAAGCTTCCTCCACCACCACTCCCATCTTCCTTTTCCTCTCCTTTGATTTTTTTTCTCTAATTTGAGTTTTCTTTCCTTTTCAATTCAGTTTATTTGGGCGGTGAGATGTTGTGATGGATGACCGAATGATTAAGAAAATGACACTCATGACTTCCCATGGGTCTAATACCCATGTGTACATATACTCAAATATCGTGTACCACAAGTACGGGTGGGCCTTTCGGTTAGTCGAAATTTGAGCGTACCAAACTAAAAAATATGAATCGAACCAAAAAAATATAGTAGTTTTTTTATTCCAATTCTTATAAGATCTAAATTTTTTTTAATAAAAATCGGAATTAAATATTAAATAATAACCAATTTTATAAAATGGAAAGAACTAAACTGAATAGGGAATCGTCCCACCCTAACCACAAGTCTATACATGTTATTATCCATGTATTCTAGTAACCATTTGCGCATCGTTTAAAATAATTTATTTTAGCTTTTTTTTTTTGAATGATCTAACAAATGTGCTTGCTCGGGTGGAACTAGTTTAGAGTGTAGGGTAAGAATGGCACAGTTTCTTTATTTTAAAATTTGGCGATCATGTTCACTTTAGTCAAATAGGTTCCTCCTGTTGGCATTGAACATTTTAGAATGGTGCTCTGTTACAAGAACGTGGTCTATGCATAGGTTTCTTAGGAATGTAGAAACACAAGATACTCTCAATGAATTTTAAAATTACTTAAAATTACAACAATATAAATATAAAAAAAAGGGAAAAAATCCCTAAAAATTTCTTAACTTACAAATTACCAAAAAAAAATATTTTGACCTTGCGAGAGTGCCAAATAATTCCTAAACTTACAAAAAATATCTCAATAAATCATAATTTTGTTAAAAAGTGTCATATTAATCTTTCAGATAAACTGATTATAATGATATGATTTTATATCCTACGTGGTAGGTGACATGGCATACCAAGTGAGATTTTTTTGCCACGTAATCAGTATTTGTGTAAGTCATCGTGCGTACTAAGTGTTCGATGAAATGCGTTTAAGAGACTCTAGAATATTTTCTGAAGAAACCGGTTTTCTAATGCGGTACTGATTACGTGGCAAAAAAATCTCACTTGGCGTGTCATATCACCTGCCACGTAGGAGATAAAATCATATTATTATAATCAGTTTCTCCGAAAGACTAATATAATATTTTTTTAACAAGATTATGATTTACTGAGATATTTTTTACAAGTTCATGAACTATTTGGCACCTTCGGAAGTTCATAAATTTTTTTTGTGGCAATTTGCAAGTTCAAAAATTTTTAGGAGTTTTTTCCATGTAAAAAACTATGATTTATAGTTAAGTGAATGGAGACAAATATTCATGAAAACGAGGTCTCGTTTTTTTTATTTTTTTTCAAATCTATTCACAATTAACACTCATATTGTCTTTTGTGTTATATACTTCAAATTTATTGTTTTCTTTTGCTGTATACATTTATTGCTTCTGTTTTTTTTTCTTTCTAAATTCTCAGTTCCTAAGTACATTTGGTGTTAAAGTTCGGATTCATAAAACTTGTTACATGCTGAAATTCATAATACGTTCGGATTCGCCTCGGAGTTATGTTCGTAGGGAAAATGGTGGCCAGATTTTTGACAGAGACGAGAATATCGTTGAATGAAAGAATTGTATCGACTGCTGACGAAAACGAATTATTCAGGGTGGTCTTTTAAAATGCAAATGGTTATGGAGACTCATGGATGGGTGGAAAGGCATAGGCAGTCATTTTTCAAAGGTAAATACTCAAAATAAAAAAAATTTATCCATAACTTCTATAACTTTTTTTGGGGGGTTTTAGATTTTAAAAAAAAAAGGAACAACTTTATCCGGTCACGCCAATATTTTTCTTTTTTCTAAATATAAATTTCAGATTGTGATATTATGACGCAAATTATCGAATAATGTTGTGTTGTTTCTTATTGAGTTAGATGTATATATACACGAGACCGCGAGAGTTATTTCTTTCAATTTTGAATATTTATAAAAACCAGATATTTACGAATATTCATATCGAACATAAAATATGATAAAAATGAGAAATAAAATTACAAGATAAACTTAAACACATATAAAATATATAATCTATCAAATATAAACGATATACAAAATTTAAAATTTATAATTCAAAATCTACCACATTATAACATATTCAAAAAATTATATATCATAAATCTTTATATTCAAAAGCTTAAAAATTCTAAATTTTTATATAAAAAGAATATATCTCGAATCTTCATGAAAAACTTGTAAAGATTAATCATTTTCATCATCTATACCAAATTATTCTTTTATTTAATAATATTGTTAAATAGTATATATCACATATGATATTTCGACTAATTCAATTTTGGTATCGTATCTAATTTGTATCCGACAAATATTTTTAAATAAATATCCGTATCCGTTTTATAAACTATGGATATCCGAATTTTCGATTCAAATACGATCCGAGTAATGAGTTTGGATTTTTTGGATATTATGTCTACACTTAATCTCAATAATATCATATATATATATATATATATATATATATATATATAAAATATTGGAATTTAGTATACAAAAATCTTTCACGTGCTTTAATATCTAATTTTATGTTTTCGTGCATATTACTAACCAAATTATTTTTTCGATAACCAGACAACCAACTTACCAACATAGTTTTTATACCTACTATACATTATTATGTCTTTATGTGAATTACCCTCTGATTATTTTGTTTAAGATTGGCATCTAATTATCAATAATAATAATAATAATAATAATCATTATCATCATTATTATTATTATTATTATTATTATTATTATTATTATTATTATTATTATTATTATTATTATTATTATTATTATTATTATTAGATGCATTATTTTGTGATTTGGAGGTAATTTGAGTTTTTTAGGAGTGTTTGTAAATTGTAACCAAACCAATAAAGCAAATAAATAAAGGCAGAATAAAAAAGACAAAGAAAAGAAAAGTCAAAATAAAATGAAAACCTATCGTTGTCGAGATCTGAGTTTTGTCTGAATTTCCAACCTCTCAGTTTCTTCGTAATCTCCGTCTCTCTCAAACCCCAAATTCCAAATGTTTTCTATATAATCCATCTTTCAAAACCCCCAAAAAAAATGCCTCTCTCCGACAAATTTTCCAGCGATGTCCTCCGCCGCTGCAGCCGCCACCACCACCGTCGCCCCCCTCCGTCACAGGTCTAAATCTAACCCTCTTAACGGTAAACACCCTAACGGCGCTAACCAGATCCTCGATCCCACAATGGGCACTCCCAAGAAATCCGACGGTCTCATTAACGGCGGCAGCAAGGCCTCGTTCATGACGTGGACGGTGCGTGACGTCGTACACGTGGCGAGACACCATTGGATACCGTGTGTGTTCGCGGTGGGGCTGTTGTTCTTCATGGGCGTGGAGTACACTCTCCGGATGATCCCGGCGAATTCTCAGCCGTTCGATCTTGGATTTGTGGCCACGCGATCGTTTCACCGGGTCTTGGCTTCCTCGCCGGAGCTTAACACCGTCTTAGCCGCTCTAAACACGGTACGTCCGATAATTTAAAAACAATTTAACAAAAATCTGTAATGGTTACAATTAACAAATTCTTGTTTTGAATTTCACATTTAATTTCAGTAGAAAAACGTACACCCTTGGGAGAATCTCTTGTATTAAAATTAATCAAATTGTGGTCAACAGAAATGGCTTAACCCACACCCCCTTTTCTTTTCTTGAGATTCGGAATATTTATTAAATGTCTGTCGGGCTGGAATTTAGATGAATACACCGAAATTCTAAGAGATTCTATTTTTTTTTTATAAGTTTGAATCTGCACAAATTTCGAGGAAATTGATCTGTGTTTGAAAATAGTCCTAATTGACAATTGCTATCATATGTTGCATGGCTTGTAGCTTGTATGAGTGTGTATATATATGTCAATATATGTGTGTATATGTGTATATTGATTCATTTTTTTTTTATCTTTCATCTTCTTCCGTGGTTCATGCGTATAGAGTACAAAAGCTATTCACATGGATGATGATAAGTTGGACGACCGAGTCCACATGATCTTGAAAGAAAAAAAGATTCGAACAGCTCTGCGTTAAATGCGACACTTTTGTCATGTAGTTTGTGTGTGTTGTGAAGGTGTTTGTGGGGATGCAAACGACGTACATTCTATGGACGTGGCTGGTGGAGGGCCGTCCGAGAGCGACGATATCGGCATTGTTCATGTTCACTTGCCGTGGAATTCTCGGTTACTCTACTCAGCTCCCTCTCCCCAAGGTCCCATTTCAATACACTCAATTTCACTTTTAAAATGTTAAGAATGAACATTACCGTTTAATGGGTTTGGTTAAGTTTCTTTAAGCAAAACGATCGCGTGTTTAATGTTGTCGGAGTTACGCTTGGTGGGTGAGAATGCGTAGTTACTGATTTACGAAACCGGGAATTTTGGATTCTCGCTCAGGAATTCCTCGGGTCAGGGGTCGATTTCCCCGTGGGGAACGTCTCGTTCTTCCTCTTCTTCTCGGGGCACGTTGCGGGTTCGGTGATAGCTTCGCTTGATATGAGGAGAATGCAGAGGTGGGGACTGGCTGCTATTTTCGACGTTCTCAACATATTGCAAGCGGTAAGGCTGTTAGGGACGAGAGGGCATTACACCATCGATCTCGCAGTTGGAGTCGGGGCCGGGGTTCTCTTCGACTCGTTGGCCGGAAAGTACGAGGAGATGAGCAAGAGAAAGATTGGTATGGCTTCAAGTACTAGCTTCAAAGACTCTCTTCTAAGCTAAAAACGACCAAATTTTCTATAAAATTTTAGAAGAGAAATTTGAGGTAATCAATGTTTTTTTTTTCCTTTGTCCAATTTTGGTTAAGTTTCTTGTTTTATAGACTCCACATTTCCATGATGAATTTATTGTCACAGGTACAACTAATACACCAAATCATGTCTTGTCCATTAATGTTCATAGGCTTGTTTAGGTGGAAAGATATAGGGGTGGTTGTGTTAGTTTAATTTATAAGAGGATGAAAATATGAACTTTGTAGAAGTTAGGTGGCCAAAAGAAAAAATAAATTAATTGTCGGAGAAAAAATAAATAAATAAAAAAAAACAAGTAATTTCTTTTCACGCATATATGATTCCATGTATATGATTGATTCTTTATTTTTTCTTCGCTAAGACTAATACAAGTCGTGTACATTTTAAAAATGTACGCCGTTGATGCAATATACATAACAAATACGTATATACGTATTTACATTCGTATAGAAGTTCGTCTACTCTTCGGAGTCCGAGTCGATGGGGCAAGATCCGTCGTCGAAATTAGCATACGGGTTGAACTCTGGCGAACTCGGATCCATGCATCCCGGGACCAGATCAAGATTGCATCGATCGCCCTGAAAATTTTGAAATCGAACTTTAACAATACATCCATACACGGGTTTCTTTTATTGCGAATTATGAAGAATTTGAGTTTGTATATTATATATCACATATCGATATTTAGTAATAGAAATGGGTTTGTGTAAACTTACTCCTTCGACCGTCAAGTTTCCGATCATTGCACATCGTGTTATGACGACGTTCGTGTCGGGGAATATGGCTCTGTCACAGGCCCCTTCTTGGCTCAACTCTTTGGCCAAACCCTAATTAGCATTCGGATACATGAAAACAAACATTGGGTTTAAAATTCCATTAGAACAATTATTTTGGACCGAACCCGACTGATTTCAAATTGAAATTAAACGTTTTGCGTAACAAAAACTAGGGTAAATTCCAGTGACTATTATCGTGCAACACCAACCTACACCACTTATAGTTATCGCTTTTATGCGTCTATGACTTATTTTTTCACTTTTATTATTCTTAGATTCATTATTTTGTTTTGCTACTGTGAACTCTAATATCTGTATTACCGCGATTATTTATATATATAATATTTACCGTTAACAAAAATAAAAAAAATTAGGGTTTATATATATATATCTACCTCGTTGAAGAACTCAAGAGGCTTGTTTTGCAAACGCTTGGGGACTTGGAACTGAAGCCTGTAAGGACCGTCCCAGTTTACTCCGTTTGTGAACGAGAAGATCAAATTCAGAGCTGAAAATCATTTCGATACGAAAAGGAAATCTAAGTATTTTTTGCAAAAGAACTGAAAAATTGATGTTTGGTTCGGATTTTATGTGATCTTGAAACCGTACTAACCATGCTTAGGAATGCATATCTGAATTGAATATATCGGAGAATCGGCTTGGCCCCTCTCTTTCTTAAGCATTGCCCTCGGTTCTCCGCCGCACATTATCGGCTGATTAAACCCTCCTGCAAGATTCCATTGCCTTGGTTAACAAGCTAACTAAATCCGACTTTCCTTATCATCGATTAAGATTTCTCAAATTTCGCGATTTTCCTATTAGGGTTGCTCCAACGTATTAGAGATGAAAGATTTCGTAACTCGGATCTGTGTTGTGTTTTCTTCACGTATTACAATCAAAGGATAGTTACTGTGAACAATCAAAATCGAAAACCGACCGTTGAAAGCAATCCCGAATTCCTCGTTCGGGTCGATTTTGTTTGCAGCTGGATTGTAGAAAAGCCTCAACTTCTCACCCTACCAAAGCACATTCATATATATAACCCCTTAATTAGTCCATGATGAATCACACACATATATATACACTCATACACCCATTATATATATATATATATATATGCAGAGAGAGAGAGAGAGATCTAAATTGTTTAAGGTGTTAGGCTTACGGCGGTGGGAGGAAGACCGTTCATTGTTTTCCAGTACACAGGAGCCATACCGAACTCAAACTTTGCCCATGAAGGAAGCTTATATCTGCAGCAATAATCATGAAAAACTTTCAAAGTCATGACAAAGAGTAACCTTTTTTTTTTTTTTTGATAATCCGGAAGTTCACCGGGCCTTTGGCCCAACTACATCTCCCAGAGGACCGGGGCAGTCCATATGAAAACCCCTCCCCAACCAGGAATCGAACCGCCAACCTCTGAGTGCTTTGCACCCAACTGCTGACCACTCGCCCACAAGCTGTTGGGTGACAAAGAGTAACTTATCCTATGCTTTCAGATCGATTCTCACTAACAAAAAAAAAATCACATAAATGATGATAAACATACTCTTTGATCTCTTCGGCAGGCTGAGCTGTAGTAGCGGCCGCAGCCTTTACTTGCATGTCAAGTTTCCCTAACCGATTCCCTCTCCTCGAAAATCCCCTTTGAATTGCACAAACCGCGGAATTGTACGCTGTATTGAAATCATACCACAGCACAAAACACACAAAAAATGTCACGGTTTAACATATATATGCACAATCTCAGCATAGTATAAGATCATTTCCACAAATTCAGGGTCCTGTTAAGCTGAAAACTTGGGAATATTCCAAGGAGAGGGCTTACAAATGGAGGGTTTAGAGGATAAAGGCTGAGGAGGAGAGGCGAAGATGGAGGCACTGTTAGTCGCCATGGAAATGGAACTGAAGAGGAGGCTTTGGGTTGAGAATGGAGGATAGGTGGTGGTGTTGAAGATAAGGGTTTTTTTTTTGCACCACACATTCAAGTAAAATGTATGAAGAGAAATATCTATACAGATTCCCCCCCCCCCCCCCCCCC